CACAGTGCATCCTCTGTTCAAAGGTTGGCCATGTGCTTACCAAACATCAGGCATTAGAGATTCACCGTGTTTGAACGTTTGCACTTGGCAGGTGTCGACCCCACCCAGCTCAGAGCTGAAGCTAGCATCCCAAACCTTCGTTTTGAAGGACTCAGTGTTGAGAAACACTGTTTATTCAACGTTCAAAGGCACAACTGTTCGCTGTCAAAGATGCAACATTGCTACAAACCACAGACTGCCCTTTTGTACCACCAAAGAAGAACCAAACACCCTTCGCTTGTTTGGCAAAGTTTTTGAACACTATGGATCTTGGCTAGTGAATCCAGGGGGCAACAAAGGAGTGGCAACAAGGGCAACAACTGTGGGCAATCTCACCTGCCGACCATATCTTGGAGATAGTCAGCTGCAGTTGCAACTGCATGATCGTAGATGTTGCCCTCGTTGATGTCCATGTCAGCCCAGCGCTGAGTAGCGAACGACCAGAACTTGTCCTGTGAAAAGGGTTTGTTCAGTAGCCATGGGGTCTACCAAGAGGTGGAGTGGGTTCAGCTTCAAAACAAAAGGAGCCCCCTACTTCCCAACCTTTCAGTGATTTTTCAGCCAAGTCTTTAGGTGCTTCAAATGTTGTGAACGAAGAAACATATGTGGAAAGGAAAAGGGCTATGGCTATGGTGGAAACATTAATTGGTGTTAAAGTACTGTAATGGTTGGGGAATTAAACAACTTTAGAGTGGCTCCTCGTGAGCACTGTAGGCCTGAAGGTGGGGCTTGATACCCTCACCAAAAACCTTGCGCAGCACTTCCCACTTGAGCTTCCCAAACGAGGTCGCGGGGCACTTCCTCCGGGCAAACGTTGTTGGGGAACTTGTAGTCGAGGACCTCTTTCTCTGGACTTTCTTACTCTCAGGCTTTGGGTGCTCCGGCTCTGGCTCCTCCTCGTCCTTTGTATCGATTGCGCTTGGCTCCTTTGGTTGTGGTTGGCTTCGGGACTTTCGCTGTTTCTTCACCTTTGCTTCTTCCTCCTCCGCTTCCATGGTGCTTGATGTCTTCTTCCTTGATGCACCTGTTGGCTCCTTTTTCTTTTCTTCACTCCCTTCCTTGGCTTTGCTCCTTTTCTTGGGAGCTGGTTCGGATGGCTTGCCATGAGTGACCTCCTCCTTTTCCACCCCCCTTTGTTCTTCTTCTTCTGCCATTCCTTCCTCACCAAAAAGGTCTGCTTCGGTTGGCAACGCCTCTGGGCCCTTGGGAGCACATTCAGTCTCATTCATGTGTTTGGCTTTAGCCTTCCCTTTGGCTTTCACTTCCTTTGGCTTCTCTTCATTCTTTTCATTCTGCTTTCGCTGCTTCTTCGTATGGGCACTCTCACCTGGTTCGTCTGATCCCTCCTTCTGAACAGTAGCTTTCGCCTTTCTTTTTGCCCGTGGCTTCGGGGCTTCATGAGAAGGCTCAGGTTCTTCCTTGGGACTTTTTGCACGCTTTTTGCCCTTGATCTGTTGGCTTGATGTCTTCGCACCAGGGGCCTCGTCCTCTTCCCTTTCAATTTCTTTTTTGGGGTCACACTTAATTTGTTCTTTTCGACCATGGTGCATTTCCTCTTCGGTCTCCTTTGTATCCTCCGCCACCTCATTGCCCTGCACACCTAGCAGCTCATGTTTTTGTCCTTCACTGGTTGATGCTGCATGCTCTTCAAGCTTCTTGGTGGGTTCATCATGCTTTTTGAGGCTAGCCATGGACATGTTGTCAGGCTTTGCTTCACCTGCTTCCATGTCATGGGACACAGTCTGTTCTTCGATGCCTTTTTGAGCCACATCATCTTCGTAATCCTCCTCCTCGTGCTCATCTCCATTTTCACATTCATCTCCATGCTCCCACTCATCTTCATCTTCCTTCATGTCTGGCTTTTTGTCAGCAGACTCACTCTCCTTCTTGTCACTCTTCTTCGTTTTAGAAGCCTTGGGTTTCTTCCCTTTGCCCCTCCCTTTGCCCCTCCCTTTGCCTCTCCCTTTCCCTGAATGGGTTTCTCCTCTTCATCATCTCCTGGAAGTTTGAGCTGCAGCTGTTGGCGACGTAGCACCTGATCATTTGCAATGTTGGCTTGGGTTGGCTTGGTTGTGTCTAAAAGTGGCCTAGAAATAAACCATGAATATCACAAACAAAATATACAGAAACTTGTATAAACTGAGCCACGGTTGGAGTTGAAGGTATCTCTTGAAAACCTTTCAAAGGCAGGTCGCTGTCATACTGCTTGACAAAGTCATCCATGAGAGGGTGAACTTGTGTGTCTACATCATCATTTCCATATGGTTGCGACTCATCAACAACGAGGGCACAGCTTGAGCTCGCTCTGGAAAGTGATTGTTTGGCTCGCCTCACTACCAGCTGTTCAACAATTTTCAACATCCTTAAATGTGTTTTTTGTTTAAGTGTTCTACCTACTTGTTGACATCAACCACATAAGTAGGGTTTGCCTTGCATTTGTTTGGGGGACAGATCCAAACCATTGCTGAAACAGTTCTCAAGTAGCATAGCAGTACATGTCTTCCTGGCAGCATCAAGTTTCGCTTTCAAAGCCGCAATCTGCTCACTTCGTTGCTCTTCTGTCATGAGTTCATCCAAAGACACAGAGTTCATCTCGAAAGTATTTGTGTGAACATCTTCATGATCTTCTTCGTGGAAAAGCTTCTTACAAGGCAACGGGCTGTCCACTGGGCTCTCCACCAAGTCAATGACTCCAAGCTGAGAAGGATCATGGGAAGGTTCATCAAGAACCAGTTGGGAACCATGGGAACTTGGCTCTGGTGGATTAGGAGGCTGAGACTTGGTCTCATCATGCCCTTCATGAGCACCATCACGCTCTTCCTCCTCCTCCTCCTCCTCGTCTCCCTCACTTTCTTCACCCGCCTGTGTGTCTTCGCCCTCTCCCTGCGTGGCTTCCATGAGTGGGTCCTGTGGACGTTGGAAAGGCAAGGGTTCAGGGTTCAGGGCCTTGACAAATATAGAAAATGCTAAATGCAAAAACATGCAAAAACCATTGGAACAAACGTTCAAGGAAAAACATTCACCAAGATTGGACAAAGGCAGGACATATCTATTTTGGACAGAGTATCCTTCTCATCTGGGTCGTACACCAAGCTCATCAACCGCCTAAATAGCTCCGACCTTGGGACTTGTTGCCTTTGAAGCTTCCGTTTCACCAATCCGAGAAATTTCTTCAAATTCTTTGCATCCTTCTTCAGCTCCTTCTTGTTGGGAGGAGCCAACTTCATGAGAAGGTACACCCTGTTGATCCTCACAGTGAAATATGTAAAAATTAATGTTTGACAGCTGTGTAATGGAACACCTTTACTTTACAAATCAAAAGGGAAACAAAAACATACAGGTGAGTGAGTGCGAGTGTCTGGACTAGCATGTCTGGAACTGAATGCATCCCAACATTGCCATCTTCATCCAGGAGGCGGCGAACAAGAGGTTTAAGGACAGGATAGTTTTTCTCGGCAAAGTCAACGTTAATCTTCACATCCTCATCCCAGGCCTCTTTCACCAACAACCTCTTAGTCTCCCTCAGGTGGGCCCTAATCCCATCATCCATTTCCCATTCTTTGGCTATCTCAGCCAGGCTGGGCATGACCCCTTTGCCCATGTGACTAAGCACCAAAAAAAGAAGGATAAATCGACAGCAGCCTGAGCCAAAAGCTAGCTTTCAAACAAAGAAACCGCTCAATGTTCCAAATAGGTTTGCTCAATGTTTCTAGAGTTGAACTTCACAACTCAACACTCAACACTTTCCACCATAGCCCCCCAGAGTCTGTATATTCTATGTTGTGTTTTAATAGATTAGTGACATTTATGAGATCTATATGCCCTCTTTGGAGTGCAACAGCCAACCGAATGGAGCGGCTGAGGCCAAGCACGTGAGCAAAGTCGATGCTCACAATGATGTTCGCCCGACTAAAATGCTGGGCGATGCTCTGCGGTGGCGCGGAGAGGGGAAGATTGGTGATATGTTCAATTGAAATTGCAATGATCAAATGTGACCTTTACCAAAACATGGTCCTTGTCAAATTACGCCCCTGGACATCAAAATCCAGGATTTCATACTATGAACCCATAATATGGAAGTGACCTCTAAAAAGAAAGGACATCTGAGACCTAGGTATATATATATACACATCCAGACGGGTTTGCTTAAGACTGTGCGCGTTTTAAACCTCACATGTACATTCATACGCTATTTGCATTTTTTTGAGCATCCGTTCGCGGAATTTAGCGCGGAAATTACGCGTATTTACCGCGCATGTTTTCATCGGTCCATGTAAAACGCGCTGTAGATTCGACTTCAGAACTGTGCCATGATTCGGAGGGTTTTGGTCGGATGGCACGTTAACGTTCGGTTCAAGTTGCACGCTCATACAGAAGAAACCCTTCTACGTTGCTACACAATACTAGTACTCGTGCTGTGTCGCGCATACATGTTTGCTTGCACACCTGAGGTCGAGGTCCTGGTCTAAAGAAACGCGATTTGTCTTCCCCAAAAAACGTGAACACGTTTAACAAAAAAAAACGTGGTGTTTTTCACAAACGTGTCACTGTCTTAAATAAAACCCGTGAGGATATATATATATATACACAAAACGCTTCGCGTCGTAAAGAGTGTCGCTCCCCTGGGGTGAGCTGAAACTTTGGCGGCAAGTATGGCAAGTATGCACAAATATAGGCAACAACTGCAGATATGAGCATACTGAACTTGCCATACTATGCATATGGCAACAACTTGCCATACTATGCATGAGTGAACATCGAATCTTTTGCTGAACCTATGCAGGACCACTGGAGATAGATTTATCATGCCCCATGTTCACTTCGAAGAGTTTACTCGTGCATGCCAGGCTAGGGTCTGATTTGTGCCCTCTATACTGTACACCAATATAGGGTATCTTGCTGATTCTTTCTGTATCCATTCTACTCATGGCTTCGTCGCACCACTGGTCATGATTGGTCTCCTTGGTGTCTGCTCGCTGGCCCAGCTGCACCCTGGCTGACCATAAGCAGCTCCAGCCCATTGTTCCAGGCCCACGCTGGGGCGCTCAGAGTCTCTGCAAAGCTGAGACACTAAGGCCTGCCAGGGAGGGAAGCTAAGAGAGGTTGGGACCTCAACTCGAACCTTCGAGATCCTTGATGCATAGCCCAGTCCGCCAAGTCGATTCATCAACCTGCTTTGAAGGATTTGAGCCAAATGACACCAAACAGTATGCAAAGTGAGGGTATTCTTCTTTAGCCAATGAAGCCAACCGGCATAAAGAATTCTTGGCCGATGGTTTTGCTGGGAAACAAGTGTGACAATCTTCACCAACCTACTGGACCTACTGTCTTAACATGCCGTGTTTCGACCAACATGTTCCCATGCCTCAGCATGATTACAAGCTAATTTATAAGTCAAAAGAGAGCCGCAACTGTGATTGCCTGAATCTGGTCAAACACCCACCACGGAACCTTTGATCTTCCTCCTGTTCCTTATCTTTCTCCATCTCAGTTTGGGGCCCAGTCCTCTAGGGCTTCATCAGGCAAAAGCCAAAAGCCATAAGCCTTTGCTCCTTCCTGGAGGAGATCCTTCCTGAGCTGCGGCAAGGCCGAGGGAAATCCTTCAGCACAGGCAAAAACAACCGTGTAAAGAGCCCCCAACAAAGGGGTCGTTGTTGTGGATTCCTTTTATATAATCAGCTCCCTGTCGGTTTATGTTGGCGTTTCTCCTAGTTTGAGACAACCTGTTCTCCCACTCCCCAAGAACGTTTGCTAAGACTTACTGCGAAAGATTGAACAAATAATAAGCACATATCAAAAGTATACACACTCTGACCCACCAACATCGAAGTGGAACATCGGCAGCCGGGAAAAAAGAACATGTTGCTCCACGAACAGGTGGTTTTCCACCGTCCATGTCACAAAAGTGTCGGTGCATTGTCAGCATGTTGGTGACGTCTGGAACCCCTGGAGGCCTTGTTGAAGTCATCTGAGCCCGTCTTGTTTTACACCCCCAAAACTCACCTGGACCCGGGTTGAATGGGACCCTGAAAGACCTTGTTCTTCCCCTGCAAACCAGTGGTTTTCAGGGTCCATGTTAGTTTTCCACGGGGTGCGTTTCCTGGGAGTTGAGCGTACGCCGTGGGTATCAACGTTATGACGGCATCTGCGATGCAAGCCGCAACCGGCCCAAACACACCGAAAACCCACCCCCATTCACCAGCATCTCATCGGGCAAATCCTTTCGACATGTTACCAACCAGTGGTCAGTCTCGAAGTCCTTCGTGACTTTCTCAATCATCTCTTATAGTCTCATCCAGTCAATTGACACATCGACAAGTTCTTCCAAGCATCGCCTGTGCGCGGCTCACGCCCTCCAGCGCCTGGATGGCCCGTTCCCAGCGATTTTCACGGAAGATCCCTTCCGCGATCTCCGCCAGCTCCGCTGGGCTGAAGCTTTTCGGCAGTATGGGCGGGGCATGGCGGTAGGGGGGCTGCGGCATGGATCTGAGCCAAAGGGCTTAGGGACATGGAGAAGGATGATCATCCCTGTGCATAAAGAGGTCCTAGATTGATCTCCTGTTCAGTTGCCCATAAAACCATTAATAAAACACATATATACATATATATATATGTAATAATATGTATACTTGTTGCTTGCCTGAGGGCGCCTCAACTCAATAGACTTTGGAACGTTGGATCAAGTCACCGAAGGTTGGAACAGGTTGGAAGCGCCAGATCAAGGTGCTTGGCCCATTGAACTGAGTGAAGAGATTGCAAATATGCGAAGAGATGGTATGTCCGCTAGATTCTGTGGGATGCTACCTCGCGTTCCGCTCATCAAAGCATGACAGAATCCGAGCAGCATTCAGTGTCCAAATTATCTCATGTGAGCCTGCAATGACATTTGAATCAGGAACCTCGCAACTTTCAGGACACTCCATGCAAGCGCATGCACTCTGGGGTGGCCACGGTGGCTGGAGCCTGGCAAGGCTTAATCACATCACAGCATTGGATTTATGTTGGTTGAGCCTACGAGTGTGGCCAGTATTGAGGGCTCCCACATATCACTAGCACAAAAAAACACATGTGAACAGAAAACCATGGAACGCCCCAAAAACTTGTGAGTCTAGTGTCCACCTATAGTGGTTCCCTACTGTGCTCAACACAGGTGGTCCTCCATTTTCTGTCCATACCAGCCATCTGCGACTAGTTCACCACCAATGCGACATACTCTACAAATGACTCAATATCCGATCTACTTGTTCTTGAATCAATCCAAATGCTTCACCCATGACTCCCATGGAGTGCTCCGACCCCCAGCCCTCAGTCGCTCCAAAACAGCTGCCTGCGCGGGCGCAGCTAGTGCAGTTGCTTGGAGCGCCGCAGGGGAGGTCGAGGCACCTTCTATCAGCTGCGGCAGAGCCAGACCTCAACAGCAAAGGACTTGAGAGCCACATGACATGTCACGTGACAAAGGACTTAGACATTTGATGAATTTGGTGAATGTGCATCGAACCAGGTAGATCATAGTAGATCTAAGATGCCAAAGGAGCTGGATGTCCCTGAACACGTACAAACCCATCAGCAAATATCTTTGTGTCCATTGCTCCTGGCGCGCTCCTGGCGCTCTCAGTTCCCCAGATTTGTCACCCACCAACGTCAACACTCAGGACGATGCAAACCTTCAAACATCCTCAAACCTGTTGGCCGAAACTAAGCGCCCCACTGAGCTGTGCTGCTAGGAGTGCCTGAGCTGTGCTGCTCCAAGGAGGGCCACTCCCTGACTGCCCATTCCGGTACTTCGAAGGCCGTACACAAGGGGTAGGATGGCATAGGCATAGCTTGACACGTGTGATTCCATCCATCTGCACGAAGTGGCATTTTGGGATGCCAGCCTACACTTAAGGGCAGGACCAATTGCATGAGCCTCGCTCTCAAACCACTTGATCTTCAAACTCTAAATTCACTACTGCATGGCAAAGCCCCAAAGAAGCAGCGAAAGGAAAACTCTTTAAACATTGGAAAACGCTTCTATCTGCTTGTTGCCCACTCAGTCATTGGCCTGAACAAAATCCGGATCACACTTGGCAAAGTGCACAATCACAAGTCTGAGCTCTACAAGTTGCTCTTTCCAAATTTAGCCCAGCTCCGAAATGGAGCAGTAGTAACCTTCAAGGGACCATACTGACCCCCACACACGTACGGTGATACCTTCAAACAGCATGCATCCTTCAACCGGCCCAACTCACCCTGCCATCCGAGTCACCGTGTCTGGCCTCATTTGGTTGCAGCAAAATGCTGGAACATGCAGCCCGAGGCAAGCTCGAGTGACAGGGAGCTCGGTAAGCCAATATCCAACTGTTCGGACAACTGGCCCCCACAGCCAGGAGTAAGCACATATTGGTTGCAAAGGCTATCCAAAGAGAGAACTTGGATGGGTTAGGACCTGTTCATAGTGGGCATAAACCATTGGAGGCTCAATTGGCAAGGATAAATTCAGGCTTACCATGACTACATTGACTACATATCCTCGTTGACCTAAGTACTGCCCAGGAGACCTTCCACATTTGATGGATGAACCAAGTGACATTCCCCTACATCATTCTACAGCTGTATATCCTCAAAGCCAAGTCCTGACGGTCAAATGCGCTGTCTTCTGCTTTCCCCACACCCCACACCTCCTAGAATTCGACCCCACACCTCCCCAGATACTTCAAACATCTCAAAGTCCACAGCACCTGAGTGCCATCACCTGGGTACCCCCGACATCTCGGGCAGCTCCGGAGCGGCCGGAGCCTCCGAAGCGGCCGGAGCCTCCGAAGCGGCCGGCACCGGAGGCGGCGCCTTCATCCTGGGCGCGACGCAAAAGGACCGGACCAGGCATACACCCCATGGCACTGCCCCATGACTGGTATCTACTGTTGCTTTTCATGCTCTTTTTGCACACATCTCATAAGCCTGGGCTCCAATTCCACAGAATCAGACATGAGTTAATTGTCAGCAAGTCCCATGTGTATATCATGAGTTTCTGTTTTGGGGCATACTTGGCTCCAACAAACCTACGTCTCTTTCACCATGAGGTGATATTCCTGTTCGTTACCCTTGGCACACTTATGTGGACATCGGCGTGCGCGGCGTATCTGAACATGCACGTATCTACTGGGAACTGTGCGCATGTTGATGGTCAGTCTTGGAGCAAACAAGTTGATAATGACTGGTAAATGATTGTATTGTAGCAGTGCAACTCTGAGAGGGGCTGTTGTTCAAAAAAGTGGCTGTTCCAGGTGACCTCTGCACCCTCTTGTGGTGGCCATCTACATTGTAAGATTGCTTATGATTGCCTGGAGCCTTGGAGCATTTGGAATTCCAGCCCATCATACATGCACAGCCCAAACAACTCCACATTGATGTAAGGAATGTGGATATGATTGGATATGAACAACCAAAAAGGACATGGTGACATTTACTCACCTCACGCAACATAGGGGAAAACCACACACAAATGAACACTGAGACTAATTATGTAGCATTTTTCTATGTATATCACGGCAGACTCGACATCCCGGGACGATGGAAATCAAATACTACGACCGGTGCAACGGTCCAAGGGGCTGATACCCCGTGACGCTATTGATGCCATCCGGCCTTGGAGGTGTTGAAAGGGGGGTCCGTGGCGGTTGGAGTGGTCAAGGGCGGTTGGAGTGGTCCGTACGGATGGGGTTGGAGGAGTTGGATATGGTTGAGTCGTGCTCAGTGCTTGTAGATGCTTGTAGCATGGTGTGGAAGCGGTGGCAACTACATTGGTGCGGGAGCAGTGGATGATACTTTGAGAAAGCCATAACTTGTAGTACCATAGAATTTGCTGCATCACTTGAATGGCTCATTGACCTCTGTGGGGCGAAGCACTTCTAAGCCAAACGACCGCTTCCCGGCTACAGCACAGCTCTGTGGTAGCTGGGCCCAGCTACATCCAAGTCCTTTTGCTCTGCTAGCTCCGAGGTTTGGCACAGCTTCAGCATGGCCGCAATGCTGGACCAAGGAACCAGGATCCAATCTCATCCCAAAAATGACTCTATAGCTCAATTTCTTGTGCTTACTCCCGGTGATTGCTCAAGAGTGCAAACGGATGTGGCCATGCCGCCTGGAGGGCTCTGTCGGTTTTTTTGTGGGCATGTTTGACCCATCTGCTATTTAGGTGACTTGGAGCTTTCATGCGAATCACCAACCGCCGTCGCGGCGCAGGGTGATTCGCATGCCAGGCGAATCAGAACTGACGGACAAGACTTGGATCCTGACAGTCGGAGAAATAAACACATTTCTCTCCTGTTTTATCTCCTTGATTGATCAGGAAAATCGAGATCCTGTGAGTCAAGTCTGCCATATCATGGTGAAGAAAAACAAGCATCGTGAGCATGTTACTGTAGGAGCCTCATGAGTCACATTGTCATCCTGATGTGTTCATTGGTTTCCCTCTTCATCTCCCATTGGTTTCCCTCGTCTCCAAGACTTCTCAACAAGTCTGTTTAGTCGATCGGTTTCGTATGGTGTCTGCTTCGCCCCGCCCTTCGGTGTTTGAGCGCATCTGCGCCGCTCTCGGCTTGGAGACCGCTGTGGGTTGACATTCGAAACGAGTCTCTCTTAAATTTGTGTGTTTTGTCTTTGCAGCCCTTTCGTGGCTGAAGTGTCAAATGCTTAACGCTCAGGCGATTTCGGATGTTCAACGCATGCCATAGACCTTGGTCCTTGGCGTGCAAGGATGCCGCCGATGGTGGCTGTCAAAGGGTGGTCAAAAAGGTTGGACTGCTTTGACGTTGTACTGCTCTAACGGCGGATGGTTGCAAAGGACTAAAAGGTAAATAGGGTTTTCCCCCAACCTTCTTGGGGACACCACCGTGCTCATGCCATTTCATGCTCGCCGTGTGCTGGGAACGCGGCACTCGCACACTGACTACTACCTTTGTCCAATGCAAAGGCCAAGGGCCAACCTTTTGCTCGTAGGGGGGTGCTATAGCAAGTTCATGTTTGCTCCCCAGCCAAAACATAAGTCCAAGGGTTGGTTGCCAAACAAAAGACATACATTAATGCAGTTGAAAATGACTGCCAACATGTTCAGGCAGTTCAGGAACTGTTCTTTTGACAGCATTCCCAACACCCCATTGAACAAGGCAGTTTCGAGAAAAAACAGTTGAAAGAAAGACACAACTACCACATCCATCTCCATCCCCCTCTTGTGAAAATCCCAAGTCTTCAGAAGTTGACCGAGTAGTCAAAGAAACCAACCATGTGGAAAACATGTTGAAAGCAAAGAAAAACATCACTAATAGGAGGACCCCCCTTCCCCGGTTCCTCTTCACCAATGAGTTCCGGATTGTCCAACGATCCTCTCAGGCAGCCTCCCAACCCAACGTGCCCAGTGTCAAAAGATGCTGGGGGGGGGGGGAAAAAAGGGGGGGGGGCAAAACGAACTGGCTGCGCAAGGGATCTGGCATTGATTGCGGTGGCATTTCAGCAAAACGTAAAAAAAGAGATTTTCATCTGCAAACATGCACAACATCTCTTAATAAGAGATTTTCATCTGCAAACACAATGGTACAAACCATGTGACCGGTATGTAGTGCTTAATAAGGCCAGCATAAGGGTTGCCAAATTTGCAAAAACATGCTCTCATTTACTAATCCTTACTAGTCTTTAATAAGCCTTTTGTACATCTTACTATTTGACATTAAGTCCTATCTCTTTCAAATCCAGCTACCCCAATAAGCCCTATATCTCTTGTCTTATGTTTTGCCCCCCCTGTTTTGCCCCCCCCCCGCATCTTATGACAGTGTGCAAGCGCCTCTTTTCAACTCACCTCGCTGAAGAAGGCTTCTGCCTCGGATCTTCGCTCCTGCAGGATGCTGAAGAGCTGCTCCCGCGTCAAGCCATAGCCGCCCTTGGGAGGAAAACCCAAGCCAAGCAAAGTGAACCACCTCCGGAGGAAATAAATGTGCAAATGCAAGGTCCTCGGAGCGGGCGCCAATGGGCATCAAATAGCAGGTAGCCGCAGGTAGCTATTTTGGACTCTGCTCACAGTCACTGAATTTGAGTCAGGAGATGTCAAACTGTCACGAACAGCACAAGTCATGGGCATGTATAAACGTTGCACAGCTACGTGTGCATGCCTTTCGCTGTCCTACGGCCGGCCTTTGACCAAACACTGTCCCTTCTCTTGAGCGAAGGCACGCTGCTTTCCAAAGAAGGTTTCATGAAACATGTTGGACTGACACTCGCCACTCCCAAAAAAAGCCCATGGGCTATAGCTCTATCCCCAAACGGGCCATCGTCGCAAAAGAAAAAAAAACATCAAAAAACGAGCCTTTCGTCTTCACCCTTGTCTTCACCTCCGAGGTTCTGCGAGAATCCTCGAAGCAATCTCAAAAGGATTTCCTCAGCCAAGTCATGCCAGCAAAGTCCAAACATCTCCAGCGCCTTGCATCCCTGGCAGCCCAGCGCCAAGCAAGTCCATGTATCCTGCGTTAACTCGTCCAGGTCTTGCTGCGTGAAGCGTCGATTCCTTTCCAACAGAGACCTCAAGTCCTTAGAGCCACACATCAGAAAAAATCGGCGGAAAGGGCTCCGTCCTCAAAACGTCCGCCCTGAAAAGGAGGGTAAACTTTTTGGGGATAGTACGACGGTCAAAAGAAGGAGTATCAAGTAGAAGTGGCCAACTACAGGGAAGCTTTGTCATAGTCCAAGCAAAGTGCTGTCTAACATCCTCTAATTATGTCCAAACTGCGAAGCCCAAGCGTCCGGATCGACAGTCCCCAAGTGCTCCAGCGTGCGCATCCGCTGGAAGAGCTGCAACATCGTCAAGGGGCGGTGTCGGTCTCCCGGGTTCCAAAAGGCGTTGTCGTGAAAGAGGCGACCAAAGTCACCTAAAACGGCTGCCGACTCGGCAGGGACCGAACAAACGGCAGCTCCGCGAGGGGAGTTGAAGAAAAGCTCCAAAACAGTGAGGGGACGTTGAAGAAGGTGCCGGAGGGGGGGAATGTTGAATAGGTGTGGGAAGGTGATATGTGATAATATCCTATATATTCCTACATAATATCTGATATAGCTGCTTGGATAGAATAGCATGAACATGCACGAAATGGTTTGTAGAATGCAGTCCCATCTGATACCAAGTGAGTCGATCATGAACCTCTACTTGGCAGCGGGCGCCTCAGACTCAGTCTGCGAAAAGCCTGTGATTCATTGGGGATTTTGAGGCCAGGGGCTTGTTTAATCTAGAGTCCTGAATCTTCAGCCTGAGGAGCCTCATTGACTGGAACCTGTTTGGTGGCTATGTGGGTCGTGTCCACCTGTCGAGACACCTTGAGGATGTTCAAATGTGGAATCCAAGAACACCAATGGGTACCCCGAGTGTTCTTGATAGTTGTTATTTCATGATCGAGACGGACGAGCACTTGGTCCAGTAGGTAGCCAACATGCATGGAACAGCTTCGCCAACTATATAGCTGCTAGTAGATTTAGAGCCTGACCCTTCCTCGACGCTGTGAAACCACAAGAGGCACCCAAGATCTTGTGATTAATTCAGCACTCCTCCCCATGCACTCCACTCCACCGCTGCAGCCCAGTCCTTCCCTTCCCTTCCCATCACCTCGCCTCGTAAACAAATATCTGCATCCACTTGGTGGGCCTCCACTGCATAGGACAGCCACGGCAGCAGCTGTCGAGGTGCTGCTGAATAGTGCTGCGGGCTAGCACCGATAGTAGGAGGCGTGCTGCGGTGCTGCGATGCCAGGCGTTCGAGGATCGTGCGCCACCAGGGGACGGAATTGGGGATGGGATAGTACCTGTGCCTGGCACAATTGAAAACCTACAGGTCACCGGCTTGGGCCCACATCCACTCAATGAATTGCGAGCTTCTTCACCATCGCTGGGACAAGACACAAAAAAAAAGGAATGGTTGCCACACTTTTGTGATGAAGCTGGAAGTCAACCGCTTGGAATGATCGATATATCTAAGTTTCTCAGTAGTAGGCTGCCCTTTCAGGCAACTGTGTTGTCCGCGTTTTTCTCTCTCTCTCTCTCTCTGTCTCTCTCTCTCTCTCAATTTGATTTTCAATTTCTGCAGCTTGTCAAATCACCAGTGACCAGGGCACTGGATGCTCTGTTCTCCATAGTAGCCAGGATGGAGTGCATCCAAGTAGAGCGTGGCACGCAAGGTTTCCGGCCCATTGGCTTCAAAGTCCATCTCATGTGTCATGGATTCATCGAACCAAAAGCACTTTCCAGGCTGATAGACTCTGGGGCGTTCGCCTGAGATCTTTGTTCGCCGGTGGGACACTTGAAGTTGCTTGAGGGACATCTATGACAGCATGTGCAAAAATGTTCGATGTGGGCACAGCATGGCTTGTATAAGTCAGAGTCAGCACCAACAGTCGGGATGCCAGTGCCCATGTCTGGGCAACACCCCCATTAGATTCTTTTGAAGCCGGTTGCCCCATAACCTTGGGATGTTCATTCACTCACGGGAAGCCAGGTAACCCAGGTGGAAGGAAACGTGTGATGAAAAGCAAATCCCCCCAACTACCAGAACATTGAAGTGCTTGTCTATTTCACATCTGTTCTCTCTAAATTTGATCTGGCCAAAACTTAAACAGGGAGATGGTGAAGTCACTCAATCGATTTCGCATTCCCAGGGGAGAAGTGTGTGATGATGTGTGATGCGTATTCCGTCATACACCTTGTCACTGTTCAAGCTCAGTGTCCGTGTCGACCGTCCCAACGGGCCGGTCTAACCGGTCCGAGTGACCCTCAATGCGAAGGGTCGAACTGGTCTGTGGAGAGACCACCAGGGTACACGAGAGCCGCATCCGTCCGATCTCCGGCGAGGCGTGTGGCTGGATGTAGACGTGTCGTCGATGCATATCGCTCGCCTCCTTAGACCCAGCAGCGTTGCACCGGAATCCAGCAAAGCAACTCAAAAAAATGGACTGGTCACGGTCACGGTTTTTTTCTTCTCCGGGGTTGGGGAGGCTTGAAAGAAATGGACTGGTCTGCAAGGCTTGAGCATCCACTTCAGGACTTCCTGCTAGTGATAGGGAAGCACGAAGTAAACGAAGGCCCTTTTGCTCCATCTCTTGCATTGCACGACAGGTCTTGGGAACCTTCACACACTCCGAGAGGAAGTGGCAATATTCGAACATCAGGAAGACATACCTAAGCCATTCCATGGAAAACTCTGCACATGCTGCACAGCTTATTACCGGATCTTGCTTATCCACTGCCAGAAGAGATGTTTGCTTAGAGTTAACTTAAAAACCCGACAGGATAGGATTCAGCGGCTTTGTTCAGCAAGCTTCCCTACACACAAGCAGGCCGCACTACTACAAAAGGGCGTTCCACAAACCTGCGAAATAGGAAACAAAGCCCCCCCTTCTCCCTATAGAGAGAACACAAACCCGATCAAACCTACATCCCCCGTTTCCACTCGATTCGGACCGCGGACCGGCGTGTACCTGCCGAGTCAGCTTCTTTCGTCGCCTTTGGGGGCGCCCCTGGGGTGACCACACTGTTTTGGCCGAAAGGCTCGCACCAGCCATTGTCTTTGCAGTAGCCGTTCACCTTGGAGGAAGAATAAGTCTGGATGATCTTCAACTGTTCTTGAAGGAGCTCCTGGCCAAACTGCCATACTGAAGGATTACCTCACACAGATTCAACAAGCTCTTGAAATCACTGGACCTCCAAACGCCAACCGCCCGAGAAAGCAATGTGAACTGTTGCTATATCACCCTTCTGCCCTTACCGAACGGTCAAATATCTCCAAAATGTGCGCATATGGGGGTCTTAATAGTTCATTAACACCCAACATGATCTTACTTACATTCCTTTCTGCACCAGCCTGCTCCCACCTCAACCCAACTACATCCCCCATGGACTTCTTCACAACCCCCCGAAGAGGACGGTTTCCTTTGCCCCCGTCCTCCCTCCCAAACTCCTCTCCTGGGCGCGCGCTTCCATGAGCTGCTGAGCAAAGGCAAACTCCGGATGCTCCGCCAGCCAGGCGGAGCCGGGGAAGACGGCGCCATGGACGACCTGCGCCACCCAGGTGGAGCTGAAGGCAGAACGACGGCCTCAGGGCGGATGAAACGTGCCATGAATGAAACGCGGGTCGTGAACGCGGGAGTGTAGTTCAATCAGACCTGGAGAAAAAGACACGCCATGCTTTCGAGGATCAGTTTCGTGATGATCTGGGAGAGATGGTAAAAATTGGAATCCACGCAATTCATCATGGATCTCACAAGTCTTCCCTGACTGACTATAGTGGAAAACTCGTTATATATAGTTATATACATCAAAAGCCCTTCAAAGATTGTTGCCAAATGTTGCCAAACCTGTTTGTTCAAGTACGAATCACCAATGCCCTCAATGTGGAAAGCAAACACTATACACACCTCAACTTATTTTTAATTGAATCAGGGGGACATGAGCTCAAGTACTCCTTGCAAATGGATGTGGAGTAAGAGCCACAAACACAAAAAGTCAACATACCTCAAACACCAATTCCACCCCAACTAATTAATTCCCCCATCTGGGGCAATCGTGTCTCCCATACTGTCCCATACTCACCCACAAAAAGAAAAAGAACACACTCCTTGCATCACCGCGCCATGGTCGCCCGACCTTGCCAACCGCACCTAGACCCCGCGGCCGTTACTGGCCTCGCCGAGCGGCGATCGTCCCAGGGCTTCGAGCGATTTCCCGCCACGGCGGCCCAAAGGAGCCGTGCCTCTCGGGCATGGAAGAGCTGATTCAGCAGCTTCAGCAGCTGGTGGACGATGGAACGATCGAAGTGTGCCAAGCTGACACCTTGAGATCAAACAAATGAGACATGGTTTTGGACAGTGTGTGGGAGATAGATGGTCAAGTGGGTGGGAGATACTCGCGGCGTAGCGGCGTAAGTATTTTGCTTGGGGAGTGGTGAAATCTAGGCAACTTGTGCCGGTTTCATGTAGAAACCCGTTGGATTGGTGCTCCAACTGCTAGTCTGGATACTTCGTATGGTGTTGCAGCAGAAAAGGTCATTGATCGGAATACTCTCCCAAAAACATGTTCAGCTCCTCAACTCGAAATTTCACACCCTCCCAGAAGGAGGGCAACACAAACTCTATGTTTGGGGGGTTAGTTAGTTGGTTGGTTGATTAGTTAGATAGACATACCCTTCCCAAACCGTTTCTTCAGAATCGAACCTTTGAGTCGACTCGGAAAAACCAGGGCTTCTTCTGCCCGGCCACATCTGCGGATCGCGTGCACGCGAGTGGTGCTCTGCCCCTCTGGAGACAGCGCCAAGAGGTACCAGAACTCCACTCGATGAGGCCACCGAGCAATGGAGATGTCCAGCAACTGGCGATAGGTCTCTGTTGGAAGTCCACTGTATAACAGAAGCAGTGAAAGCTCTGGATGAGATTCTGCCACTTCGATGGGAAGGCCAGGAACTGCAACCAAACTTGGAGTCTCAAAAAAGTCTCCTGGTGGCTGCTTAGAATCAGGTTGAGCCATATATATATATATAGCATTACTGTACAGTAGGCTTGTGTGCATGTGAAAGGGCGGCATTGGGTGCCTTCTTCTGTCTGGTCTGAGTTCTCCTCCCCACCTTGGACGAAACATATTTAAGATGCTTTAAAATCTCATGCAGCTCACCCAAAATAAAGCACACATGACAGGATAGCTTCCATTTTGTCCCATCAACATTCCAAGTCGATGGCAGGGAAAAACAGAAACACATCCACAATCCAAGCAGCCCTGCCTTTCATCAATTGTTCTTCCCCCCGTCGAAAGCGTCTCAGGATCAGCTGTGCCGCCTGGATCTCCAGGGAGCCTACACAGCTGCGCCGCAACGCCTGCAGCTTGCGGGACATGGACTGCAGCACGGGGCCATCCACGCGCCAGGTGGCGCCTAAGGAGCTGGGATACTCATGTTGCACCACCAGCAGTTCGGAAGCCAACCTCATAGCATTGCTCCAAGCCGAGGCGTCCCAGGAACAATTCGCAGGCCTTGGGTTGGCGGGGAATTTCCCCAGCTGGGCGGACGTCAAAGAACTGCATGGTTAGTTCGGACACCCGTCGATCTCGGTTCCAAAATGAAAGTTCGGAGCAAGGAGGTTCGCAGTCTTGGTTTGTTTGTCACTGATTTGTAACCTGATCATTAACATCCACCTGACATCACTTGCCCCAACGAAAAATGAACCCGTGCCTTTCCCAACTCCTCTGGCTCCTCTCCAATACTGCAAAGCCTGAACCAAGGGCAGAATATTCCGCAAAGCGCCAGGCTTTGTTGACATCCTAAACTATGCTGGAAGCTGGGCATTCGAACAACAAAAATTCCCGCAGCCGCACTTAAATTTAAAAGCCCAAAGGACCTCAACGGTTTAAAACTTGAGGGCCCCCACACCAAGGTGTGTGAGCATCCAAGCTTCAAGCCAACTCTGCATCTGATCCAACGTATGTGCTGATCCAACAGCCTCTTGAGTTCCATGCACCAAGATATACCTGGTAGAGCCAGTGACCAAAGAGAAGTCCAGCAGGCGCGAGGAAGCAAAGAAAAGCACATCCGCATCAACTGAATCTGCGAAATCCACTTGGATTCCAAGCGCCTTGAACTTCGGATGCTTCTCCAGAAAGGCCACCAGCTCCGGCATCGGATCCAGCACGTGATAGCGGAAGCTCCTGGACCTTCTTCGGCTCCTTTGGCTCAGGGCGCCGCGCAAGATCGCGACCCATGAGGCCTCAACATCTCCCACTTGCCGCACTGCCTCGGCACGCTGGGTGTATTCCAACAGCGTGGCCAGGTGAAAACGGAGGACCAAAGAGGCATTCACCACAGCTGACTCGTAGGTCGCGTCGACCTCCAAACAGCACAATGAAGGGTTGACCGAGACTGATCTCACTCACTCACAGCTGGAAAATGCTAGAAAATGACTAAGGGCGCTTGACAGCTTTACAATCACTACTGCTCTTGCAAATACAATGGTCACCCACCAGCACCACACAAATGTCGCAAGTATCTGGTTGGCCTCCTCCACAACTGCTTCGCGGCCCATTGGGCTCGCTGGTGGAGGACCACTGACACAGCGCCGGCCTCGGGAGAGCCAAGGGGAGGCTGAGAGCCCCTTCCCCTTGCAAGACTTCCATATTCGATCAACAACATATCTAATTACTGGGCTCATCAAAACCGGACAATCCGATAGTTTGTAATCCATAATCCCCCTTAGGATTAAGAATTATATACACAAACCATCCATGTGGATCAGTTACATGCACTTACTTAACTACGCTCTATTTCAGACCATGCATGCAATGCAACTATTCGATGCATCGATGGTGAATCATGGTGGGCAGTGACTCAAATCACGGAAAGGGAGTACTTGAAAACTGTCGTTCAAAAACTTGGTCTAATGAGTCTACTGCTGTAGCGGGCAACCGGTTGGCATGGGTAGGGCAAAAGGCCACTATAAATCTTAAAGAGTGGAAATGAACAAGCCCCAAAACTACAAGGTGATCACATGTCATCACGTACTTGCAACCACCACTACCACCCTTAAATGTCAACACAGAAACTTCGTTTCACCAACAAAATCAGGTCCTTCTCATCAACGAATCTGGGAAGGGGACGTGTGGTAAACTCCAAGAGAGGTTGAGAGACCAGAACTAGGACCCTGTAGTGGTACATATGGGCTGGGCGAAAAGAGCTGTTCAACCTCTCTTGGCTGCTCCTTCATCGAAACAGGTCGCGAAGGCGGACATCGAAACAGCTCGGCAGCAGGTAGCCACCGGCCAAGAGCAGTCTGCGGCCCTGACGGCTGCAGTCGTGGCGCCCCAACGCGCAGGAGCGCCGGGCCACTTCACCGGACAAATTGCCGATGCCTTGGGGGGAGGCGGCCGATGTGTGAAAATCATCGATCAGTTTATCCCAAACTGGGGAGTTCCCTGGCAAAACAATTCAAGGGGCAGTGCCCCTTGCCTTGGGAGAAAATAATGAACATGATGAGGAAAAAAACATCTCATCAGCACTCCTAGGCGTCCCTGTGCCGCAGCAGGGGCCAGCAGTGCAAGCAGGACCGCTGGCCAAACTGCCATCAGCATGACTGCCAGCGGCGTCGAAGCAAAACATCACTTGTTGTTCGTCATCTATATCAGCCGATTATCAGCCTACTTATATATATCAACCCAGCTGGATATGTTCGAATTTCTAAACTTGGAAAGCTATGGAAAGACTTGCGGTTTCCACTGTCCCTCGCCACAGCGCGGCCGTGGTTTGTGCTGAGTTGGTCGACATCTGTGCAGACCTGTGTGTGAGATCTGGTGAGGTACTATCCCCAATCTCGCTGTGCGGTGCTTTTGCACAGGCTTGGTGGCAGGAAGTCGTTGACTGCTTGATGCGACTGATGCGATGAATGGCTCTGAGGGAGGTCTTGAGCCAAAAGTGGGCGAGGGCAAGGGAAACGAACAAGAAACATCAACTTCTGCGGTTCATGGGTGTCGCACGGGGTCTCGCCATTCTGCGGTTCTGGTAGCTTGACTGTCGATGCTTGGTACAACACGACTCAGGGGACCAAAATCCAATCATGTCCAGTGACTCAGGGGACGCTGGCCACTGGTCAAACACTTAAAACATCTTAAAACAAAGTGTACAGTAGGTTTCACGTACACCCGTGCATGTGTACTTACATGTCAACACGTTTGCCATTCAAGAGAGAACTTGTCGAATTCTGATTGGCATAAGGTGCATGTACCCTTAGACACCACTTCTCTAAACGAGGGAGAATGCCGGATGGGGCAACTTTGATCGCTGCCAATCTTCTGCACATCAGACAAGTTGAGCTCCATCATCCTCTGGTGCCAGTCCTGCTTGGAACTTTTGGAGTCGAAACTGGGTGTCGTAGCAATGTTCGCTACTAGGGGCTCCTGGCATCGCTACTAGGAGCAAGGACGCTACTATAGGGGCTCCTGGCCGTACTACTAGGAGCAACTAGCTATTAGAAACAAGAATTCAATAGAATTAGAAAAAAAACTAATCTAAATGTGCAAATGTGGCCTCAATGTTCCAACATCTTTCACACAGGGACCTGTCGCATGGACCATTACTATATACGTCAATGTGCCGGCCCTGGCCCGTGACTCACCGTGGAATGGTGGTATCCGAAAACCCATGTGCTTCAGCATGCGTCCAGTTGGACATCAGAACTCATGCCTCACCTCCAGGTCACTCCCCTGCAGGAAGCGTGCCACGGCACTGCCTCAGTGCTCAGACACTTCACATGATGTTGTGGGGTTCTAAACCAGTGACCAGTACACCTAACTCTACCCCTGCCATTGTGGAGTTGTGGTTTGGAGCCTCATGTAGAACAGACTCCCAAGGCGAGCGCCGACAAACTGGGACGTCACTGATGGAAACCATCCAAAAACAAGTTCCAAAGGCATTTCTCGGTCTACCGGAAGCCGCGTTTTGATCAGGTGCCATCGGTTGCACTGAAAAACGACGAAAAACGAATCCGTCTGACGTACAACCAACCGGAAAACTGCAACTGTTCTGATCTTGGGTGAAACCACGGCAGCCCTGTCGCACGAGCCTCTAGGATTGGGTTTGCCTGGTTGGATTGGGTTTTGCAACATCTGGTGGGAAAAGTCTCTCATCCGCATACACTATCACAACTTGCAAATCTTGCAATATGTGAATGAAGGAAGTCCCGGGTCCGTTACTGGCTTTGGCAGTCATACACGTTAGTAGCCCACTTCCGTCAAACGATGTGTACTTCCTGGACATGCTTAAAGAATCATTGAATCAACATCCCCTACCATTGATCAGATTCATCACAGCCAATCCAAGGCACAACCATCGAATGCCACGTAGGTTCCTGGGCCGCCACTTCATGACACAATTGCTAGACCTACGTAAGAGATTACGTAACCACCTTGGCTGGTCCGAGATGCGGGAAATTCTGACTCTTCTCTTCATCCTCACTGCATCAAAGCCATTAGAGCAATGTTAGCGCTTAAACTCTACCTGGGGCGCTTATGCTCACTTCTTTCAAAACAGAACTGTTCTCCTTTGGCAGTCAGCGTGTATCCTCTCCCCAACACCGCTGAAGCTGCGTGCGGTGCGCCGAACAGGCTCAGGTCCACCGGGCCCGGCTTCTCGCCGCCGAAGAAGGGCCGCTCGCCCAAGGCGGCGCGGAAGCTCTGGCCGAAGGTGGTGCCTTTGGGAGCGAGCTCAGATGACTTCGGCTTGGAATGGCTGGGGGCAGTGGGGTATATATAGTATAGTGAAAACACAAATGAAAAAGCTCCTGCAAAGTAAGTGGACACTTCTTGAAGGGGTTCGCCACAATACAAAAAGTATACATCCTGCACTCACCTCTGATGGTTCGGCCTTGATTGTCTTGAAATGACAGGCACTCCCAACTGCTGAATTATTTCACCAAACTATCTAGAACCCGTGAACCATCTGTAGTGAATTTTGCACGATCCATTGGTTGCCCTTTCCATCATCCCTTTCCTATCCCCGCATGACCTGGCTGCAGCCAGGGATCTTGGCAAGGCAATGTCCGGATAGCGGGACTTGAACAGCGACTCCACCACAATCTTCAAGAGCGGCACTACAAGGCCAATGATGCCTGAGAGGAGAATGGTTGCAGGGGCTGGATCAAGGTCTGTCTAGAGTCTAGCGTAGTCCAGAATGGCTGGCTGATATCGGAGTCAAAACATATGCGCGCAAAAAGGGCGAGCCTTCAAGCACATGAAAGCTTGCTGTTGTCCAAAAAAGTGTTGCACCATGTTGCACCTTCTGTCCGCAAGCTGTATCCAAAGGCCACTGGCCGACCCCTTTCCTTTCCACCTTCCACGGCGCACCTCGCTGCCAACCGCCGATGTAGTCAGTGGCCTGAGCCCAAATCCTCCTGAGTCGGGAGAGGCCACGTGCGCTTTCAGGTCCCGGGCACTCGACCGCCCTGAGCCCAATAAAGGAATCGATTTACGCTCCGGCAAGCCCATGAAACCTGAGAAGGAAGACCGGTGGTGGAAGACCATTTTCGGAAGACCAATCCATTGGTTTTGGGGTTCCATGTTCATCTGCGGGGGTGTACTGGCCAGTAGGTAGTATGCGGTATGTTATTGCGGCATGTTGATAGTATATGTACCGAATTCCTATGTGATTCGTAGGAATTGGCTTCCTGGTCTAAGAAATAAAAATTTGCCCCAAAGATCCCCAAAGCCAACAAGTCATTCTCCTTCGACTCACTCTGCTCATTTGACCCGACATCCAAGACAGCCTTTGAGGCTTCCCTGGCAATTGGTCACTTGCTCAGATCATGGACACAAAGGGGTCATCCTATGTCGCTTCTGGGTCTGAACAAATCGCCAAAGGATCCGACCATCACATCGCCCTTCCGTTCTATGAGCAGTATCTATGAGTTAATGTGTGCCAGGGGCATCCCAAGCGATCCCGGGCGCCCCATGCCAAGTGTCGCCACATCCCGCTCGTTGCCCAACAACTCCACTTCCATGCCCGGCTGAAACTCCTTGGTCCATCAATGGTTTGGCTCCCCAAGACGTGCAGCCCTGAAATGCTTCTTTAAGGGGGATGCCGGATTCCCATTAACTCACCATGTGGGTATCAAGGCCATCCGCAGCAAATAACCAAAAGCTGGAAATCCTGGCTCCAGCAAAAGCCACACCGCAAGCGAGCACTCTTAATTACTCTCTATTGACGGCCAAGTCCGGGCCGTCTATACCAGCTATACAAGGATAAATGTATATATATATATTATATATAGATAGCTTTGGCTTCAGTATGTTTCAGTATGCTTCCCCTTCCGCTACCCGATAAATGCGCTTTCTCCCAGTGTCGTAGGTGATGCGCTTCTCCCAGTACATCTCCTCCTCCGTCATTGGTCGTCCAGTGAACCAGGGCACCACTGTCTTGACGATGACGTGGGAATCATTGATCTGTCCTGAGGCGGGGGATCACAGGATCATGAGTGTGGCTTAATTAAGAAAGCACCGCAAGCATCCAGAAACTCACATATGATTCACCCAGCAGAGTTCTCGGTGATTGTATACGTGATGTTGTGTTGGCATCGAGAAAGGTATGGCCAGAAACTAGTACAGCAGTACACATGGTCAAAATCTACAGTCCTTTTCTCTCCCCTGTTTGTTGGTCCATCCTTGACATCAGCCATAGATAATTGCCTTTCTGCAGCAACAGCAAACAGGAATGTATAATAGTGTATAGAGCAATTGCCATTGTTCATTGCCAGGTGCGGTCGTTGATCACCAGGACGGGGATCTTCTTGTAATCCTGAAGAGGTCTCTGGAACCGTTGAAGTGCCATCAAATGACAACACACACAAGGCACAAGCATGGTTTCGAGGTGAGGCTCGACCAAAAGAGACGTCGAAGCACATGATATGAAGACATATAGCGCATGGATTGGACATCGAAAGCCGTGTGGGGATGCACACATATGTGAACAAACCATCAAACGATGTCCAAACAAATCCACTGCGATGTCAAAAGTCTGGTACAGTATGCTAAATGACTCCCTTGCTATATACATCTGCTCTGCGCCCAAGTCTTCTACTGTCGCTGAATGCGGAACAAGTCGCTGATGTTGGGTGGCGTCCATTCACGGCCCGGAAGGGCAAGTTGTAGTACTTGAACATCGTCCTGAACATCGTCCATTCACCGAGTTCAGCCGTTTGACCGCCGCTCCAAAGCCAATGAACCAGAAATAGAGTGACCACAGACTCTGTCCGCCTGGGCCTCTTTACACTCGGTCGAAATAAGGAAACACCTGGAGCTCCTGGAAGCCCAAATGCAGCATTCAAGTGACTGAACTGTTCAATATGTTCTGCCGACCAAGGGAATATCGGAAAAAAAATCCCAATGACAATATCGTTACTAAAATCTCAGCCCGTGCGTACTTGAAAGGTTCCAGTCTGCACAGGCCCGTGTACCGTTGATTTTTCGGCTTTTGTCAAGCTGAAGACTCAGCACTTAAAGGGCGAGGACTGTTTACTGATTGATACACAGTGGGATCTTCTTGATACCTCGCCTCACAATGAAAGGCCCTGAAAGGCCATAGCTATTTCCATAGTTTCATACCCTAGATGTCTTCATTGTGATCTCCAGCGTTCCCACA